AGAGAGAGAGAGAGAGAGAGAGAGAGAGAGAAAAAACGCAGCTGCGATCTGAAATTGCGTGCCGTGGCGAACAACAAATCCTCGATGAAATTTCGCATTCAATTTAAAACGCGTTGCAATTTCTAGCAGCCGTGCTCGTTCCCCGGAAATTCGTTCGTTTCTGTTCACGTGTGTGCGTGCAGTGCCAGCCCACGCAGCCAGAATCTTCGATCGTTCGCGAAGAGATGTCTCTACGTGTGCCACGCTGGTTTCAAGTAGAATATCCCTGACGTAGACAGACATTCAGCTAGCTATTCATTAGAACACAGCTATGTGTTTATTATTGATAACACTTCCTAAGCAGTACCAGACGCGAGTGTTAGGAAACTTGCTGGAAAATTTAGGCAAATTTTTTCGTGTTTTATATTGTTCTGAATCTCAGAGAAAGTAGAAAGGTCAGCCATAAATATTAACTGGCAATAGTTAACAAATTTTTGTACTTTGTGTTGTTTCATATATTTCTCCATCCAATGGAATGAAATATATGCTATTAGACATAAATATTCGGATACTTGGAATATACAGTCATAATTGCTTTCTCGGAAATTTTAGCAGACTTTAACATTTAATATTATTTTGTACACCAGTAGAGAAGGATGTACACTGTCAGACATGAATATTTGAACATATTATTTCATTGCTGTTCATTGGAGAATTTCGACAAATTTTAGTATTTTACATTACCCTATACTATCGTAGAAATTAACAATTTAAAAAACTTCGGTTCAATTACAAGTAAACTAAAATGTAAGAATAATTTTGATTAGACACAACAAGTAATATCTGTGGTTAACAATGTCAATCAAATAGATCCATTGTAGAATATCAATCGTAAAGTACGATGTGTCCTCTTCCTCGCTTATTCATTCAAAAATTAGAAACTTAATTAGAAACATGTTACCATAGTCTCCTTCTCTCTTTTATCGAACAACTTTGATATGAAATAATTATTCACACTAAGAATTTATGTCGCACAATATCAACTCTATTCTATTGTAATATACCTTCAACCACTCTAGAATGTACATCTTTTTTTACTAAAAATCGTTCGTTTTTCCATGCAGCGTCAGAACTGCGCGTTCGAACAGCTGAAAGGATTAAATCCCGCTGTGAACGCGTGATTACAGTATTCGATTTCGATACGCCCGTTTTCACAATCGAGAATCACAAAATCACACGTTGTTAACGGGACACAATCGCCGATTACGGAACACCGGCTCGCGATTTATATTATTCCCTTGTCTTTTATTACTGTACAATCATTTTCCTCATTGTGTATGTTCATGTCTATTTTCATTGAAAAGTTGAATTTCACTAGTAATTTTTCTACATGGGGCAACGACAAGCGAATTTCCCTTCAACTGGACACTCAATTCGAGTATTGTTGTTGCGATGTTATTTCAACAGATCAAATAGTTTTAGATTTAATTTACATCTCGTTTGATTTATTAATAGGTTTAGCGAGCAAATTACGCGTTGATTTCACGCGTGGAAATCTCGTCTATTGGGAATCATTACGTACGATGTTGAATTGTGTTTAACTCTGTTTATATAGGCATTCAATTACTTATGTAAATATTGGAATATTTGAAATTTAAGACTAATGATATATTGAGGAGGAGAGAATTAGAAAAATATCAGTATAGCTGGACGTAATGTCTCGTGATTTTGGCACTGGACAATTTTCTACGACTTATTTCTTTTGAATGAAACAAATTTCAAATTCCAGTCATGAGATATTGAAATATTTGATAGAAATTCGAGGGACTTATTTATTTATTGAGGTAGTCACGCGGAAGCATTGGATATCGAGTAGACGAATCAATTTTATGTTAGAAGAAATTCTGTTCACTTACGCTTACAATTAACTAGATGAAATCAGGAAAAAAGGAACGGAGTGATTGCGTCTACGTGACGTATAAATGATTATAAATTTTGCACAATTTTTACAAGAGAAAAAACTCGATTATAAAATACTAAAATACCCGAGGGTTTTATTTCATCTATCAACTGGCTAAGATATCGAAACGTAACAGATATTCTCGTGATCCAATCGGTTCGTTAAACTCGATCACGTCGAAATAAATCAAAAATTTAGGTCAATAGTGGATGATTTAAATCTTAAAAAATAATCTAAAATAAATAAATCAATAATCGAATAATCAAACAAATTAATATAAAAATTTACGAGAGAGAGATAGAACTTCGCTAAGAATTTAACAGATACAAAATAAATTTTAAACTGCAGTAAAAAAAAAAAAAAGTTTGCACGAAAGAAAAGATCCGCTTATAAAATACTGAAATACACGAAACGAGCCCGGGGGGGGATTTGTCTTATCAATCAATTAGCTAAAGTAGCCAATGACGAAACGTAGCCAGACATCGTGTAGTCGAGTGGTTGAAGCTGGCTGCTGCCCTCCGGAACGAGTGATCGGTTTGGAAATAATGCGATCGCATGAGCACGAGGTCTCCTCGGTCGGTACGCGAATTAACGCTCCAGGAAATCGGATTACGTCGTGACCCACAGCGCTGGCTGTCTACTAACTCTTGCATTAGCCTCCGTTCGAGCAAATTGCGTTTAGCTCGCGCCGAAGAGGGTGGACCGATCGGCTTGCTAGAAGTGGCCGACCGAAGTACAATAAATTGCTAATCCGCGAGTCGTAGAAATAACTTGGCTGTGAAAATACGCGGGATTTCGGTTGGCCGGATACCGGCGAATTCTCCCATTTCACACGATTCCGCCGATTGACGATCGTGCCTCAGCGATCGAAAGTTACAAAATCGATAACGTTGCGATTCGAAGTTAATTCGAAAGATGTCGGAACGGCGAGTGCTAAAAGCAGGATTCTTCTTCCTTTGAAATATCCTTCCTCAACTTTTAGTTTTAGAATCGGTTTTTAGTCCCCGGAGAAGGGAAGGAAGCAACATTTTTAATTTTCAGTTGAACGAAGCAAATGGAATACACGCGAGAGAAAAGAGATCTCAAAAATATCTTATTTATTTAGTACAAAATAAAACAAATTATGCACACAATATTGTCAATGATTTTTCGTAAAGATTGTTGAAATAAAGTTGACAGAGTTGCGTGAATATATGCCAAAGGAACGCAAGAAAAAAAAAGAATTAATTTCGTGGTTTGACATTTGTATGAAACTTACACTACCAAAATTTTGTGTAGATTTCGATTTGGTGAATGGTAGATAAGCTCTTCAATAATTGTAACAAATAATTTACAGAACAAAGATAAATAAAAATCACAAAATTTTGTGAATTCAAATCTCCTTAATTGAATAGAATATACAAAAAAATTTTTTTTCATTCTATTTACAAAGAATTTTATAATAAATATTACAAATATCAGTTTCACAAAGAATAAGCTATCTCAGGTTACAAGGTATAATATCAGCTATAATTTTTTAAATTAGAGAACCAGGAATTCCTAGATCCCTCCCCAGACAGAAAAGGTTAAATGAACTTTCGTTTGAATCCACTTATCTAAAATTGAACTCTTGTTGCATGAACGAAAAATCGCTAGTAAAGGAAAGAACGCAGCAGAATTCTCTACTTGGGAAGTGATTTCTCTACAAATGAAGTGCCCCACTTACAATAAATTATTCATTCCAGAAAAATTCGTATAATTGGACTTCTACTGTATTTGTTAAAGAGTTGTAAAAGAAGTCTAAAACATTAATTTTAATAGCCTGATCTCTCCTGTATTTCGTTTTTTATTCATTGAATTGGCGATTGGTATCAATTAAAGAATATTCGGAGATTAATAGGATAATTAATGAGAAAATATTGATTTTTCTCTTTGCGACTGCGAGTTTCAGAAGTATTACGGTTTAACAGTCCAATTTTAATGCTCTAATCTTCTCTGCCGTTCGTTTTTTATTCTTCGAATAAATGTTAATTAACACTGATCAAAGAATATCATACTATAAGAGAATAATAGAATAATTAGGGAATATTAATTCGCTCTTTGTGGCTGAGAAGTATTACGGTTCAGCAGTCCAATTTTAATAGTCTAATCTTTCCTGTCCTTCATTCTTTATTCTTCTCGAATTGGTAATTGGTACTAATCAGAGAATACCTAGATTATAGACGAGAATAGAGTAATTAACGAGCGAATATTGATTCGCTCTCTTTCGACTGGCAGGAGTTTCAGAGGCACTATCTGGCATAACAATCCAATTTTAATCTTCCCTGCCCTTCATTCTTCTTCATTCCGATTAAAATAATTGGAGAACGTTAGACTGCGAGACAATTAATGAAGAACAAAAATTAATTTTCTTCTTACGATCCAGTATCTTGGTACACTCGAAGCTTTGTCCCATTACTTCATTATTTCATTACCGAAGACAGAAGAGACAGTGGCAATACACATTGCAGAAAAAGCGCGAACGATTACGCAAATGGCGAACGACCATCCAGGGGGAGGGGAGGGGAGGTTGACAAACGTCACCTCGAGATAATCTTTGTCCTGTTGCTACTTGCCACGCCGTGTTTCCTCCACCACCATCTCCTCCTCCTCCTCCTAGTCACTGTAACACGCGGCGGTGAGCTGCGGTAAACATGTATCGCGGCACGTATTTGGCTTACAACGATTACGATACGATCATAGCCCTAGAGCCCGTTCAATCAATCAGCTGTTCAGGTATTAGCGTTTCCTGGCACGTAGCGAGCCCCGATACGTTCCAACAGGGGAGGGGAGAGACAGGGTGTCTCGTCTTCGCCATAATCGAGCGACCGTGTTTTCCTCCTGCCGCGGCCAGATTCGCGGAATTCGAGTGTTAAAGGCACTTTCACGTCGATCGATCCGATTTTTCTGCCTTCGATTACCGAGGGAGTTCTTTTCTTTTTTCTTTCTTTCTCCCTCCCTCCCTCTCTCTCTCTCTCTCTGTCTTGCACACGTCGCTACGACGCGAATGGAATGAAAGCGGAAAAGAATTCGACTTGGAATGGTTTCTTTCACATTTTCGTGTGTGACGTTTTTCTCTTTTTATCTTTTTTTTTTTCTTTTTCTTAGTGGACTTTCTTACATGGCAGTAAAGATTTCACGGCGAGAGCACACACACGTTGGCAGTGATTATATTTCTTAGCGGGAGAATTT